TGTTTCTTTTCTTTCGGTTACTATTTGTTTTATAGCGATGTCCGACGGTGAGTCCATAAACAGAATGTCGCTGGTGAAACTAATCTTTTTTTGAGATGCAGAGAGAGAGAGAGAGAGAAAATATGGTGGATAAAACAGTCCTGTTGGGTTTTACGCATGACGCACAGCTTCCTCTGTATGAAGGTTTACCTGCTTCAACAACGAGCTGCTCTCGACCTGCCACAATAATTCTTTGCGTTGTGAAGATTATTTAGATGCTTTAGGAATAATCAGATTGAATTGGCTGCCTGTGCTACTGCAAAGCAAGTGGTTTGGTTGGCTACATCTCCATAATAAAAGGCACAGGCAAAAATAGTTGGCTGGGCAGCAAAAGTGATGTTTTAAAGTTATCTTATCAACACCTTCATGGAGATTTCAAAACCAAAATAATTGTAGAAATAGCTAAATTAATCAGCAAACAAAGCAAATTGCGTTCCCTAGAAATAACCATGTTGCACAGCTGTGTCTAACCTGATGAACAGCAGATGAAATAGGTTTGTCACTTTTGTTCTTTTACTTTTTATTGGAGTAATTGTACTTTTTCTTGAGTAAAGATTTTGAGTACCAGCGGCATCAGTAGGCCTACTTGCGCTGACGTGGTGAACATGAGACAGACAGCAGAAATGAGGTCTACAGCAAAACAGAGTCAGAACCAGCACAGCACAAAGCACCAGTTTATGATGATGATGATATGGATTATTTATTTATCATACTCAAGGGCTCAGCTGAGGTGATTACTTTAGAAGAGATAGAGAGGGGATTCTAGTTTTGAAAATGTATTGGCTCATAAAGTTATCTACACTCTACTTGCATAAAACTCTTAAGCATGCAGGAATAAATATAATATAAAGTTCTCTAAAAACACAGGGCCCCGACAAATACTTTGTCTGGAGAGTGGACTGACCAGGGACAAACTCCTGGGCCACTTTTTTGCCCCTCTCTCTGACCATCCTTGACCTGAAAAAGTCATGTCCATAAACAATTTAAAAGTAACAGTGGTGAAAATGTTCACACAGAGATGAGCATCCTGCAGTATTTTCACAGGAGGAGGAGCAGAAATAACTGAGCAGGACGAGCTTTTAAGTTGTATGGGTAGCTAGTAGACATACTGTATAGTTTGTTCTAAAATTCACAGAGTAAAATGACTTTGTTAGGTTAATAGCGTGTCATCAGAGTTTGCATTGAAGACAGTTCTGTGTTCACAAACATTTGTTGCTTTCAGGGCGAGTCAGGGCCAAGTGAGACACAGGGAATATCACAGAGTGTAACATCAGGAGAACTGAATACATTTGTGCCGTGGCTAGCTATATTAACTAGCAGCTGTTCCATGGTTTATGTTTTGTTCTAGTTATATTATACTCTGTCTCTCTGATTGTGCACCAACGTTTTCTGTCACTGCAAATACCCTCTTTTAGCCACAATAATAAGTACATTCTGTTTTCAAACGTTAAGTACAAATTAGCACTTAAGGGCTTCATTTAGAAAAAAATTCAGATTTCAGCGTCGCCCCAGGTTCAAAGTCGCACCTACGTCCCTAAGTGTTTTCAGTTAGATTCCTGTTCCGCCTCTTTGTCTCATCTAGTACAGTCGCAAATGAGGTTCTGCTTCTGTCAGAAGGGGAAACTTGCATTAGCCCAGACGCCGTTCATTTTTCCGAGCTGCAGTTTATAAACCCTGTTGGCGTTTATAAGTAGGCTAATAAATAGTGGGATGTTTTGAGATGTTTTTATGAATGAAAATAAATCACAAATTTTAGAACTTGAACTTCTTCACTGCATTTTTTTTCAGCATTGATGAATTTAAAAGTTGATCTACAGGAGAAACATATCTGAAAGCAACCCAAAATGCCTGAGAGCTACTCTGCATTATATTCTGTTACAGTTTTAGATTTTTTATTGTTTTAATTATACCTTTATTGAACCAGAAAAAGTATTTTTCCAAGAGTGTCCTGGCCAAGGCGGGCAGTAGCACAATTGCACATTTAAGATGGGAATAAATAATCAGTTACAAGGTCATAAAATATCAAAATGTTCGTAAATATTCACCACAATTCAGCAACAAGGACGATCAAACGAGTAATCGGTCACAACATCTGAAGGCAGAATTGCCAGCCTTCAAGTCAAAGCAACCAGTGAAACCGGCTCACAAAGATTAAGCCACCCGCTACTGTGTCCCTTTACATAAATAATTTCCGCAACAAATTGATGCTGAAAAACACCAGAATGCAGGAAATTAAGTGTTTAACGCTCACAATTGTCAGGGGGATTACAATTACAATACAATTTTAAATAAGCCTTGTAAAAAATAATCCGAAATCAACATGTGGCGGTCGGTGTTTCTACTGTGGCACCACAAATAATCAATGTATGGGAAACACTGGAGTGATGATGTGAACGTGCTCCGGCTCGGATAGTTGGCACAGGCCAGCGGGTGAGATGGGAGTCGGGACAGCTCTAATTGCTACATACGTCTGCAGTGAGCTAACGTGACAGAGCTACCCCACCAGTATGGACCCAGCGGACACATATTCAGATGGCCTGTGGTTATATTTGTGACCTGGTGTTGGTCAAGGAGATGTGGAGGAATGAGAAGTCCATTTCATACTGTACTACTTGCCTTGTAAGTTTGAGCAGAATTTCTTTTCTATACTTTCTGCTGCAACACCTGAATTTTATTTTAATTTAGATTCAATGCCACGGCGTAGATTAACATTTTTAAGGAAATTGAAAAGGGTTGACAGATAAAGTATTGTTTTAAAAGCAATCTTCTTTGTCTATTATTAACCTGAGATCTTTATCTTATTGTTGTTGGTAAGTGCACCTGAAACCACTCAAGAAAAAACATCAAAGTTTACTGTGACAGATTGTCATCTAAGTGATGGACGTGTGAATGTGGAGGAATGAAGACGGAGATCTTTCAGGGGGAACCAGCTCAACGGAAAATTATATATGTCTTTACTTCACCTTTGTTTACAGTTAAGAACATCACTGTCTGGTGTGTCACGCATGTAGTCTTTACATAACCATAACATGTTTTCTGTAACTGGGAGGATTTGTGCGCCGTTTTATCCAAATGGTTGAATCACACAGTTCAGACACAAACAGTAAAAATGTTTTTGATTATTATTGTGTTACTCAGTCAGTTAATTGTTTAATGATCCTGTGAGTAAATGTTATGACCCAACATACCTTTCAAAGCCATCTCCACACTGCCAAGGATACTATTCCGATGGGAAATGTATTGAAAGTAGTTAAATTTAGTGTAATAACTATAGAGGCTTTCTCTCGTACCAACAGTGCATATTATCGGCGATGCATTAGATATACAGTATGTATGCAGGTTTGCATATGTAGAGATGAAGGACTTGTGCCGACCTGAATGAAATGTTATTTAGGTCTTTATTTTGATGTTTTTATAAATTGATAAACATTTATCTAACTCTCTAATCCCAAACTTAAAAAAATACTGTAAGAAAGAAAGGTATTGTTACTTAATCATGTTATATATTATTCTGTTGAATATGATGATCTGATAGATGGTATCACATGCTGACTTTGCTGCTACTAACGTGTACTGCTTGCCTTGTGAATTTGAGTTGAATTGCTCTTAAAGTATAGCTTGTATTTTTATTTATAGTCTTAGTTTTATTGTATAGACTTCTAATTATTTGCATCAGGATGCATTTCTGTCCTCGTGCTGCTTCAACACCATAATTTCTCGTCTGAGGATCAATAATAATAATATCTTATCACAGAGGTAATGTATTTCCAACACTACGAACCTGTTTTACCTGAGTGAGGGAAAACCTCCTGGGGGGGGGTTAGAAGCACCGTACAAATTGTTTTCATGATTATTGTTAACAGCATTTGTAATTGATCCTTTTCTCTTCTTTACTGAGGGGGAAAATGATTTAAAAGTAATGATAAAAATGGTCATAAATGAAAAATGAAAATGAAAAAGTCTGCTTTGCGTAAAAGGAAAGAATGTTTTGCACGTCATTGCACAAATTGGATCACCTCCTCCCTTGAGTACCCCTCAGGATAAAAAGGCGAGTTCATTATGACAGAATGTCGTCTTGGTGCATTTTTTTAAGGCCGGTGGACCTGTGGGTGGTGCGATTGAAGAAAGCAAAGAAGACAGAGGTGAAAGACACGGGAGGTTAAACAGGGGAACAGCCTCAACTGACATTTAAACCCTGTGAGTCATTTCTACAAAAACAAAGAAGAACTTTTATTCAAGTTTTAATCAAATCAAACCGCATCACTTATCTTTCTGACTTCATGGGTTCAAGGGTCAACTCTTAGAGTGTGAATAACTCGTTAAAGCATCATAACCAATAAATAAATAATACAGACTATTTAGTGAAGTCTTTGCAGACTTATTTCCCACCAGGGAGAATGAGACACATCCAGGGTTTGATGCTCACATGTCGATTAGATCACTCACCTTGTAACATTTGATTGGTTTCTCTTCTTTTCTTTTTCTAAATTTGTCACCAAAAGCTGCAGGTTTCAACTCAATTCATTGCACTTTTTATATAGAGAGGGTTTAGACTATACTTATCTCCAGAGACCCAACATTTCAAGGCTTATGATTAAACAACTGGTGTTAATGATCATGAAACACACTCACTGACTGAAACAGATACAGCTGTGTTGGAGGAATACAACTGGGTGAAGAACAGTCAAGCTCAGCTAACAAGGTGAAGCAGCTGACGATAGTTTCCTGTCAGAAGTCATACACCACAGCAACAAGACACAAAGTAGTTATACTGCATCAGCAACGTCTCTCCCAGATAGACATTTCAAAGCAGAGGGTTTTCAAGATGTACAGTCCAAGATCTTTTGAAGAAGCACAAGGAAACGGGCAACGTTGAGGACCGTAGACGCAGCGGTCGGCAAAATAAACTTACTGCAGCAAATGAAAGAAACATCGTGCTTACTTTCCTTCACTATCGGAAGATGTCCAGCAACGCCATCAGCTCAGAGATGCAGAAAACAGTGGGACCCTGTTACACCCAACTACTGTCTGGAGGAGTCTGGTCAGAAGTGGCCTTCATTGAAGACTTGCAGCCAAAAAAACAGAACTCTTACTTTAAAACGAGGCCACACGACACAAATACCCATTAAAACACAGGAGCTGGGTTGCAGAAAATTTCCTTCAAAAACTATGTTCATGTGTACCTTGAATAAATTATGCTGTTTTGAAGGCAGAGGTCACTCCAAATTTTGATTTGAGTGAGATTTTAATCCTGTTTAGTCACTTTGTATTTTGTTATTCGATAAATTAAATCAGTAACATGTCCATTTTTGAAAGCATTCTTACTTTACAGAATTGTTTCAACAACTGGCTAAAACGTTCGGACCGTACCGTCTGTTTACAGAAACAGGGAAGAAAGTGAGCCTTTCTGTACATCGGCGTGGACTGTAACGTGGAACTGAGTGATTTTAACCCACATGATTTTAAGAACACGTGCTTTTTCTGTGCTGGGAAGAACAGGGAGAACAACCTGCTAAACAGCTCTGATGTCTGTGAAAGTCTCTGTCTACATTTCTCTGACTATCCCCAGCTCCATCTTCTCATCCAAATATGGTCACTTCTGGTTGCAGAAGAACAAGATCGCGACGGCCAAAATGTCAAACTCGAGGTTTCAAAATGGTAGTTCACAAGCAAATGGCGATGTCACGGTGGCTACGTCCACTTCTTTTATACAGTCAGTGATAACAAGTCATCCAACAAACTGGGGTTTAAATAATATGGAAACTTAAACGTTTACTTAACCAAACACCAGAGACAATTTTGCTGAATTTAGGATGTTAGAAGATGTTTGTTTATCCATCCTCTTTAACAATTTGTGTCAGTCTTTGAGAAATCCCCACTCAAAAAAACATTTAAATACTAAAAACATTTAGTTGAACAATGATAGCTTGGTCGTGTGGACTAGGTTACATTTGAAAAGGGCTTCTCAAAGTTTTTGTTTGCACTGTTGTAACTTAATACCAGTAATTTACTGAATTCTTTTGTGAAAAATCACTGAAGAAAGTGCAGTTACCTAATTACCGCTTAAGGCCACAACAAGCCAGTTTGGGGAGTCAAAACCTTTTTGAGAATATGTAGAATTTATGTCAGTCTTCACGGGCGTGAACGAGTATGACCTGCATTAAATAGGACAGAGAGGGACACACAGAAGGCACATCTACCCGAGAGAGCTTCATCACCGACCTCCGTCTTCAGAGCTTCATCTCCCTGCTGCCCCAACCCAACCTTCAGAAGGTAAGACCTGCTTTACGCTTTTACTCTCTCTGCCTGTACTTACAAGGTGACTTTAGATCTTTAAAATAATTCTCGTTCAATAAAGATGCATCATGGCAACTCAGGATGTAGGCAAGATAAAGGAAAGAGGACAAGTTAAATTAGAAAATACACTTTAATGTATCACATCTGGTATTTTCTTCTAACCCGTCACAACATACCTTTTTGATCAGTTCAGAATTTTAAGATCATTTCAATCACTTTAAACCCTCCACAGCTTATTTCTGATCTTTTTATTCCTTATTCTGCACCAGAAGTTTCACAGACAAACCGTCAGTGTCTGATCAACTAGGTTTGTTCCACATTTTCACACACTTTCTTTAAAAACCTACATACCTGTAAACTCATTATTATTACAGCGGTTTCAAGTTCTTCCAATTAATTTTGTTTCAGTTCTCTGAATTTGATGATTCAATCTCGTAAATATTTTATGGTGGAACTGAAGTTCCTCACAACATCAGTCACTTTTCCTCACTGCCTTTTAAGTTTGACTCACTCAGATTTAAGTGTGAACAAAATGTAAACATGTTGATTATAATAATTTGTTCACGTCAAATTAAATACCACAAGTGCTATTTCTACTGATAATAACGAGTTATGACTACTACTACAGCGTGGGCCTCTAAAAGAGTTCATATGCAGAATTTTGCAGTCGCGCTAAATCTCTGAATAACTTACAACTCAATCAGTGAGGGATCATTTAAGGGATTTTAGACACTGTAAATTGCTTTTTTTAAATAACCAAAGGCAGCAAGTAAGGATTAGTATTCATGATTTATTAATCAAATCATGAATACTATCCCTTATGCAGTATGTGTTTTTATGGTGTGTAATTTAAGGGTACTGACTTTACTAAGTGTCTTTCAGCTCTCACAGTTTACTGCTGAGGCTCAATCATGGTGAAGCCAGGCCCTCTTCTCCTCCTGCTGGCAGGTGAGCAGAGTGCTTTAGAAGATAACCCTTGTTATCAACATGTAGTCTTTATTGTACACATTTCTTTCCCAAAAGCAATTGTCTATCTTTCCCAAAAGCAATTGTCTATATTGTACAGCCATCCATTGCAAACTTTACCTAAGTTATACATTTTTTAAACTCAAATATTTTGAAATCAAAATAAATGAATAAGCGTACCTTTTAATGAACATAAAGTAAAGTTGGGGATATTTTGTTTCGTACACTGGAGAGATGTGTTCATGATTTATGACTATGAATAAAATAAAATGTTATTTTTTTGTATCTGTATTATTTTTCTCTCTTTTACACCCAGAATGCATTGCATTGATACATTTAGAGCTAGAGGTGTGAACAAAGTTGGTCTTCACAGATTGATGTAAGATGTCTCTCGTTTCTCTTTCCTTCAAATTCCCCCTGTAGTCGCTGCCAGCCAGGTCGACCTTCTGCATGCTCAAACTATTATTAATGGGGTTGGACAGGCGGACATCAGCTCGTGTCCCATCACTTTTTATGGACAGAAATTCTCAACAATTGATGTGAGTAAAATTAAGCCATGTTTGAGAAAAGGCTTGTCTTTCCCTCTGCTGTTACAGTCTGACTGCTGATACATCTAATACAGACTGTAGCGACAAACTATCCAATATTGTGACCCCCAGGTTTTATAGCTCATGTACAGTATTATTCAAGAGATTTACCCTGTAAATTTTTTTTTGCATGTTATGTGGCACTTACCATGTGGTAAATCCAAAAATTAATTCTTAAGTTATTATTTTTAATCGTTAAGTGTAACTTAAATCATTAGCAGTAGCAACAACTTGTCAGTTGTTCATTTCAACATACATAACAATAAATGAAAGATGAATACAGATGCTTGGGGTTTTATTTGCGAAAGCTCCTCTGGAACTCTGTCATGAACTCATAACAAATATCTAAGCTAACTCAAACAATGTGTCTGTCTTCACCTGTGATCAATATCAAATTACACAGTTTGTTTCTAAGAAATCATCAGGGAACTAGTACATAAGGAAATGAGACCACAGTAAAAGCAAACTCTTAAGAGCCTAAATCCAGTATTTAAAATTGCAATTATTATAAACATAGTTTTGTGTTCCAGAGCATATTTGGATTGTATCCTATAGTGGTAATAATCTCTGACCTATCAGATGTTAGAAAACCCAATCTTGCCTACAATATTTTTACTCTTAACTTCCATTTCTTCTGCTTATAAATATACTACTATGTTTCCTGGTTTAGGTAGCAGCGCTTGCTGGACTAAAAGGTTTTGATGTCAATATTGACTTAACTAATTTTATAATTCATGTACGGTGTCTCTCTTTGTGTTTGCAGGTGTCGTTCAAACATTCGTCAGCTGTAATTTGTTTCAAACCTAACTTGAATGATACCGCAAAAGAATGTGTTGTAATAGAAGATCGAGGGGATGCAGACCGAATGGTGGTGACAATTACTGCCGGATCTTTCTCTCATCCTAATCTGCCAACCATCACAACCACTTCAACCTGCAATATTGAAGTTGTGGTGGCTGATAAAACATCAACCATGCTTGTGAGTCATAATCAGTTACAGCCTTTCGTACAAAATTAGTATTTCTAAGACACCATGTGGAAATGGGAGCTAAAATATTTTGTATCTTGTCTATTCTTTCAGTTGAGTGCTGGTATCTACAATTTTGGCGCACAAACAGCTCTGGAAATAACAGCCTCATCTTCATATGCTCCAGCTACAGTTGTAAGTATATGTAAGATGGAAACATTCAGTTATCTTAAAAATGAGCCCAGAAGGCCGTTTAATAAGAATCCTCAGAGACTCGAGCTGCAGCAGGACAATTTTCCTCATCTAATAAAAGATGGTCTTCAAACAAATCTTAAACATTGTCTGATTGTTCTGATGTTTTGATGTGTTGGTTGTGTTTTTTTTTAACAACATTTGAAATGGATTAAAAAGTATTTTATGATGAACGTTGTTGGATTCTGGAAATGCCTCCAGAACAGCAGCACATTTGACCTTGTGGGTTATCAAACATTGCAGGGTAACAAAATGCTTGCATCTGTGACTTCAATCTAATTTAAATATAAGAGATGGACAAAACGAGGCATCCTGTGATTAGCAATTTAGAAAAATTTAGTTTGGAACAGGTGCTCATTGCTAATAAAGCAGTGATGTAATGCAGTGACATATGGATTTTGAATTAACAGTGACAACATTAAAGGTCAGCTTTCATTTTTAGGGAACTAATGTCCATATGAGAAAAACAGTGAGAGAATTGTGAACCAAAATATATTTTAAATTTATGCAATCTGGGGGTCTCTTTTTTGTTACTTTGTCAAAAGAGACTCTGCAGCTCTACAGGGATTTTTGGCAGCAGCAGGTTTAGATAAACTCTCCTTACAATACCCGCCCTGCACCAAACAGCTGACAGTCACAGTTATTAACTAACAGGTGCTGGTAAAGACCAAAACAGAGTAAAATGAGAGTAAATATTAGACTTGGACATGACCAGGGTAGATGTTTGTAAGCTCTTTCTGCCAAAAAGTTTGGTTAAGCATAATTATTTTTAATTAAAAAAAACAATTATACACACACACATGCATGAACCGGCTGCCTTCTGGTCATGTGTTCGCTGATTCATCTGAAGCTCACCTCAGCTCTGCTCTCACTGTCCTGAATTGTCCTAAAATTGGAGAAAGATATTCTTTATAAACAAAAAGTGGTTATTAAAGTCCTACCTGTTTACCTAGTATTAAAGTATTAACCTTGATTTTCTTCCTTTTCTAGAACGTGACTGCAGAGGTCGGTAGCAAAACTCTGCGTTCATGGTCGTTTTCTAAGTCTGAAGCCGTCCAGAGAGTTGCCGTCGACCTGAGCGGATGCAGACAATCAGGTTGGCAACGAAGGGAAAGAGGTTCTTCAGGGATCCTCAAAGCAAAATAGTTTTGTTTTAATTTTAATTTTGTACACTTGTTGGTAAAAGGTTAATATTAAACAATTTCATAAACCTCCTATCACCTCCCAGGGGCCCCTCTTCTAGCCGATTCAGAGATGGTGGTGGATCCAAAAAGCTGCTTGAAAGTAGTCTGTAGTGCATCTGCAGTGCTCACTCTTGGCAGTTCATGTGGACCCCCTGGACATTTGCCTGGGCGACAACATGTAAATATGTTTTAGCTTTTTATTTGGAATAAAGTTTGAGTAAATGTTTGACTGAAAACCACTTGTATTTAGACACAAGTCGCCTGTGAACGTGATACAAAGCAAAGACCATTTAAACAAAGACAATTAAATATTGTGGGTTTTTTATCGATAAATCACCTTTCACCCAGTGTCAGCTGGGATTGGCTCCTGTGCGCAGGATAAGCGGTTGATAATGGTAAAAGTTTATGTGAAGTTGTGTTGAGTTTTTCTTAAATCTAAAGTAACTGGGTGATTTTTAAGATTATTTTAATGGTTCTACAATACGGTTAGGTTTGTCATAATATAATGGCACTGCCCACTTCTATGCACCCAAACAGACTGTTATTATTATGGATTTAATTTACATTAAGAGATGCAGATAATCCTTTTGCACTATTGTCCGCACTGTGAATTATTAAAGTCATCAAAGGGGTGCTACATATCCTACATATACCATAATGCAACCCAATGGTGCCCCAGTTTAAACTCAGGGTGTCTGAAAATATTTATAATCGTAGACTTATTTCTCATCTAATTATATTTTAGACTTTTGAAGCTCCAGGATTAAGGATTAATTTTCCTCTAATTGACATCTTTTCCCTTTCCGTCTCCATCAGATGCTCACCCCCTCTCGTGTGCACTGTGACTGGCCACACTCTCATAGATTTCTTTGGCAGAGAGCTTTCTGTCCCTGATCGGTGTGTATACAGTCTGATGAAGTCTACAGGAGGCTCGGGTTTTGAACTATTGGCAAGTTTCCGGGAGCGACGCCGTGTAGATGTGCCGTTTTTGGACTACTTGATCCTATCACTGACAGAGCCAAGTGCAAAGATCTATCTGGAACAAGGTGGAAGAGTTTGGGTAAGCTGCCACAATCCATCTAAAAGCAAGTAACAGCATATTTATGGGGCTGTTTTAAAAAATCTCTTTTTGTCTGATCAATCCCTGATGATCATTACATGCCAAGAGTTTCTTTGTGTTGATATTTAAATGCACTTTCTTCCCCATTCTGATGCTCAGTTTGAACTTCAGCAAATTGTCTTGACTACTTCTACATGCCAAATGTACTGAGTTGCTGCCATGTGATTGGCTGATTAGCTATTTGTGTTAGCAAGCAATTAACCAGTTGTACCTAATTGTGTGGCCGGTGAGTGTATAATGCTACATGACAAATAAAGGCTTGACATAGACCCAGTGACTGGTGATCAGTATTGGCCGATACTGCTACCAGCAATGGTGTTCAGCCCAAAAAAACCTGATCAGAGATCCTCTGCTTCTAATCCTTTTTTTCTGAACCGCACTAATAAAATATTTAGGTTACAGCCATGAACCTTACAGTGTAGCGTTCAACAACTCAACAAGTGTTACTGTGAAAAAGCACACATGCAAAGCACTTGTTCAGATGTCTTGTTGATGTTTCAACCAGACTTTCCTTCACTTTGTCTCTCTGCTGTGATGTAGGTTAATGACCAAGTACTAACGCTCAATGCCACGGTTCAGACGGTTCACGGTGTGCAGCTCTCAAAGGACCAGACTGGAGTTACTGCCTATTTAACTTCCGCCAAGGCCACAATCATTTTTGATGGCGACTCTGCATATGTGACAGGTACAGGAAACTAAATCCTATCTGAACAAAAAGAGAGAGACAACATGTTTGTGTCCTTCCATGGGCTTACTGCTGTTTGTCTTTGTCTCCTGACATTGACCAGGACATATTGAGAACGTAGAGGGCTTGTGTGGCAGCAGCGCCGATCCAACCACGACCACCACCACGAGCGCAGAGAAGTCCTCTTCTCACAGTGCAGCCAAGTACAACTTAGTCACAACCAAATGAATGCACTGACTGATATTACCTGTATCTTATTGATGTCTGGTTCTCAAACTGAATGTTCTGTACTGTGTGTTCCCTCCCAGCTGTGACAGTATGTACAGCGAGCCAGCTGACAGTTCGATCAACTGCAACGCATCAACTGAATAGTAAGATCTGACCCATCAAAATACATCATTCTGGAAGACAAACACACATAATACTTTAGAAAACTGATCATTTACTCTCATTCTTTCTCTCTGCGTGGCTGAACAGCTGTAATCTCCTGAGCCAGGCACCCTTCACTGCTTGCCACAGCCACATTGCCCCGGGGCCCTTCATTAAAGCCTGCACAGAAACTTTGTGCAAATACCCATCGGTGGACGGCATCAACTGCCAGTTTTTGGAGGCGTACGCCACGTCCTGCGAGCTGAAAAGCAACGTCGTGCTCGGGGACTGGTGGTCAAAGGCCAGCTGCTGTAAGAACTCCGTTTCACTTCTATGTTTCACGCGATGAGATGGGACGAGACACGTTGAAGTTAAAATGTTATTTGCATGCCCTTCATCTAACTATTTGACAGTGAACCTCATGTCTGTGTGTCTGTCTGCAGCTGCAGCTCCTAACCCCTGTCGGGACCTGTACTGCAGTAATAATGAGTTCTGCGGTGAGACGTCCGGTGACACCAGCTGCGTCTGTCGGTCCATTTTTGCCTCCAAGTACAAAGCAACAAACAGTTTGGGTAAGTGCATCAAATGTGGCCTGAAAAAACATTGTTAAAGGTCTTAATGTTTCTTTAGAATGAGAGTTGGTCCTGACATCCTTTAGAACAAATCAGGAAGCAACTATTTAAATGTCTTTACTCCCTCCTGACCACCGCTACTGAATAGGGTTTCATTTTATTAAATTTTAAAGAAAACCACCAACCAGAGTTTATTGCTGCATTTATCCTATTATGAGAAGATAAACAGTTCTGTTATCAAGCTATCCAAGCAAGGTTAAAATCACAACATCAAAGACGTTTTGCCTTATCGAAGAGGCTTCTTCAGTTCTGACTCACTGGCACTGGTTATTTTAAGCCAAACCAGGACCTTTTCCTAACCAAGTAGTTTTGTTGCCTGAGCCTAACCAAATTCAGAAGTTTCACCAGTTTTAGATGAAGTTTATCCTGACGTCACATACTTTTTGTCGCTGACTTGACCACGGAGCCCTACATGTCAAAAAACAACACTAAAAAGGTACCAAGGGTGTTGAAAAGCGTCGCCAAAGGGTTCTTGTCCAAGTGTCCAGATGTGAAGAGGTGGGAGTGAGAATGTGTTGGTGAAGTCATGATGATCGATACGCTTGTTTCTTTAGTGCTCCAGCAGCCACAGGTCAAGACTCAGCAGTTTACTTACATCTGACATCAGACACAGTTCTGTGTCTGTCAGACGGTCTAAAGGGGGCACTATTATATCAACAGAGCAACAGCATAATGCACAGCAGAGAATGGGGAAGGTAGATTTTGTCAAAACAGAGTTTATTCTTATTAGATTGCGACTTTATTTCCGTAATATTACGGTGTTTGTTCTGGAAATTTCAGATAAATGTCCAGGAGTTTGTAACTGAATTAAAATGAATTCATTCATTATTGAGGTGAAAAAGTGCCACCTGAATTTTTTGTTTCCCTTTTTCTTAATAAATTGGTGCAGAAAAGATTCACCAGAACGTAGGAAGTTAACTGTATAAAGTTCAACTTTTTCAGGAGGAGGCCCCCCTAGACCTCTCAATTAATGTTATTATTGTTAATATTATTAATACTAGTACCTATGTATTTATATGCCCTAAAATATTTAACAAATCTAATGTAGCTTAATAAAAAGTGAAAAAAGAGGGAAATGAAAAGTGCAAAACACAAGGTTATGAGCAACGGCAATAATAATAATAACGACAAGAGTCACAACAGCCTAACAGGAACACTAACAAACCAAGTAGCATCAGTAATCTTGACACCACAGAGGTTAAAAAGCTGAGAGACACTTACCAGTAAGTCAAAACTGAAGAAGTCTCTTGCATTAGAGGCAAAACTTCGAGTATTTTCAACCAAGTGTAGTTGCCCCTGATTTCAAAATTCTTATACATATATATATAATAAAATCCCCCTCTCACCCCTTTGCAGGCTGGTATGTGTCATCCTCAAGCTTGGTCCTCTACCCGAGGCCTTGCAGTTTGATATATTATATGTACACATTATAGCTACTGTGGGATTTTAACTTAGTTTGTCTTCAGGTGATCCGACTGTCTGCACGCAGAACTCTGCCAGTCTCACTCTGGCAGGATGTCTGCTGCAGGAAAAAGGCATCGACTACACCGCCTTACACCTCAAGGACATGAGCTGCACAGGTCACATGGACAGCAAGACCCACATGGTGACTTTCAGCTTCGACGGCACCAACCCCTGCGGGGTGGATGTTGTGGTGGGTGCTCTAATTTCTTTGCTTTCTAAAAGTACTCCCAGTAGACTCACGGCAAAATAATGACATATTTTGGCATTTTCAGGACCTGGTATTCTTTCTATGACTATCTAGGATAATTTCAAAGCTGCATTACAGGATTTGTTTGACACTTGGAGGCAGCAAATCAAGATGAAAACACATCATCTGACTAATGATCACTTAATAAATGTTTTGTTGTGATTGTGTAGCAACCAGTCGCCTGTTTACACCTCCAGCAGAGAGCTGAACAAGTTTCATCCACCGTCTTTGCCTCTTTGTGATTGACGTAATGAGGGCATGTTCTGATAGAAAGATCCGTGTAAATTAAAAGCTGGTTAATAAAGACTTGATTTTACTTTTAGGTCAGGATTATTAATGAGAATACTTAAAAATAATTGACACCTCAATGACAAAAAGTATCGCCACCCATTTTGTTGAACTCATCAGTTTTCTGTTATCTGTGTTCCTGTCACACTCTAGACGAACGGCAGCCAAGTCATCTACAAGAACACCATCACGACGAGCAACACCTCCGTGGACACCGTCATCACACGCGACAGACAAGTGGTGATCGACTTCTCCTGCTTCTACACCCAGCCAGATCTGAAGAATGTGGCCTTCTTGATCAAGGACGGGTGTGTACCAGCTTCACCTGGTTGTTGTTGTGCTGACTGCCGCTTGTTGAAGCTGATCTGAAGTGTGTGTGTCTGTGCTCTCCAGCTCGGTGGTGCAGCAGATTGTATCTGGAGCTTGGAATTACACTCTGATGATGAACACCTACACCGACGCCGGCCTCACACAGCTTGTCGGGCCGACCACTAAGATCGGGTTGAACCAGAAGATCTGGGTGGCGCTGAAGACAGAGGGGCTGGACGACAACATGGTCGCAGTGGTGACCGACTCCTGCTGGGCGACCAGCGAGTCATCCCCTGATAGTGTGCCAAGATACGAGCTCATCACTAAGGGGTGAGAAAAAACTCTGAGGCTGTCAGTGGCTGTAAGAATCAGACTTTCCTGCCGATGAAACTGATGTCGTCTGTTTTCATGTTTCTGATCAGATGCAAAAACTCTGACAAGACCGTGAACATAAACGGAAACGGGGTGGGAACGTCCAACGCCTTCTCTTTCAACATGTTCAAGTTCGCCGGGAAAAGTAGTGAAATCTACCTGCACTGCAAACTGCAGCTGTGCGTCACACAGAGCAAATCCTGTGTCCCGGTAAGCAGAGCTGGAGGAAATCCTCCTTTACTTATGTAGAAGTAGTAATACAACACTGTCCAAATACTCTATTAAAAGTCCTGCATAAATACTTTATACAAGAAGCTAAATATTCCCTCCACAAATATCAGCATTAGTGTTGACCTTCACAGGCCGACACGGTCTGACGCCTAAAACCTAACCATCTTTTTTTCTTAACAGAACTGCAGTGGAGGTGGATACAGGAAGCGCAGATCCTTGATGCCTAAATATGCAAATGAAACCCCGGCTGTCATCACTATGGCCTGGAGTAATTAGGTAAAGACAGTCCTTTTTTATTAATTACAATGTTACTAATATATTTTATAGAGAAATGTTGGATGGAAAACATCATAGGCCTAGGCCTACTGTTTGATTTAGTTTTTGATCTAAAGATATCCAGTTTGTCCTCTGGGGGGCGCTAGAGTAAAATCCAAAAGGTTCACCCTCTCAGTAGCAGGAATGTGATCAGGACATTTGATGGCAGTCAGACAATAAGATTCTGATATTTTCTGTACATCAGATACCAAATATACATCACGACTAAACTTGATTTTGTCTTGTCCTCTTCACAGGTGATTCCTGATTTAAGCTGCGTCCCAACAAGGAGCCTGAAATCACCCTGGTCTTGAATTTGAGTTTTGAAAGATTTAACAGTGATGTTGTGACACACCTGAGATGCTCATTTAATCCAAAGATTCATGCAAATTACTGAGATTTTAAATGTACTTTTTGGTGAAATACTAGATGTGAAGTGATGTGTGCAGTGAAGAAAAACTAATTCAATATATAACAAATAATAAATAAATAATTTCTTCTTTATTGTAGTAGCTACATACTGAATACAAAAACAATTTCTGTGTTTTAGTGACATGAAGTTAAAACAAGTTTATAGCTGAAAGAAGCTTTGCAGCAAGATGGTTTTAAAGATCAAGTGGAAGGAAAATACTGATGTTAACATGAATGGAAATGGTTCGTAGATTGAAGTTTGTATAAATGAAGATTGTCCGTTAAAACTGTGACTGTAATCACATGCTGTTGTACCATTATTATGTCATTATTACTACATGAGAGCTCACAAAAAAATAAAAAATAAAGGGAGTGGTTTAAAACAAAAATTAGTTGCATTATTTATTCATCTCTTTTATTCTTTGCAGCAAAACCTTTTTGCTTGGCAGGTAGGCTTTATTTCTTGCCTTTCAACTTTTTTCATGAAAACAAGCTCATTTTTTAAAATATCATTTATCTTTACTTGTAAAACATTGAAACCGTCCACCACTGTTTACAGGTTAGACACGTTATCCAGATAAATTAACCAAACCCATCCTGCTGAATTGTCAGTGACTGCTGACTTGCCTTTGAATGCTTTATTTCTTTAAAATATGTAAATGCCTAAAAAGTCTCAATATCATATTGATACCCCTTACAGAAAAACCACATGATTTGCCCATGTTTTCCACATGTAACAAACATGTTACTACATATTTGTTACATGTGGAAAATGTTTCCACATGTTGTAATATGGAATAACATGTGGATCACACGTGGAAAACATGTTACCACAACATGTAACAAATACTGGCACATTTTCAAAGTTTCAGCATTACAATTTCAACAACTGATCTAATTTGAGTACTGACGACACAAGGGTATGACAATCTTTGATAAATGATAAATACATATGGAATCTGTTTAAAGGCAATACATACGCGCACCACAAAGGTGTGTATAGGCTTTTTCCATTCCATAGGTTTTTAAAAGTCTCTTATTTTGAGAGAATGTGCTAGTGAAGCCGGACTAGCAAAGTATGAAGAAATGACACCAGATGCAGAGTCTTTAAAGCAATGCAGTGTGTATTGAAAAAGAATTACTCACAGGATTGCAACATCACATATTATGGCACAAACTAATATTAGCTCAAGAAACAATCCTCTATTACACAATTCCATAAGAAGTTCAGTAGACTCCCATAATGGCATATGTGCCATAAAGTGATCAAATAGCATAATAAAACAATTAAAAGTAAACATTTTGCCACCCATATTCAGGAAACGTGTTAAATCAAATACTTCATTTAAACAAGATGGGCACATGGTCCTGAAGCAGTGGATCTGAAAATAATAATTACCAAATTGCATGGATCAACTTAGACATCACTCAACAACATGTGCACAAAGGTTCATAAAAGCTTGCCTATAGTAGTTGCAAAAAAGTGTAAATAATTTAAAATAGCAGTACAATATACATTGAAAGTCATGTTGGTTGGACTCTAGGCTAGGGAGACAAGAATTTTCAGTCTGTGGCACACGTTTCACAAACACAATGAAAAAACACCAAACTATTTGAATCACTAAAATGAATGTGTTACATTTGGCTTGTGCCATGTGGGGCACTTTGTAACCTGCTCTGTAATCTGAGTAACCCGCTCAGACTTTAATCTCGCTCTAAATTGTTAGGCATTAAGGGAAATTAAACAACGATTATCTTTTCTATATACTACACATTTTTCAGACAGTTGGCAGATGTCTAGAGCAATCAAATCACTAAATTCAAATGGTATTGACATCGCATGCTTGATCTGGCACCTAGATTCACCATAGCAGCCTTGAAGAAACAATCTAGGTTTTGTCACACACTTTCTGGCTAGACATAATGCATGTTCACAGCCAGCGTGACTCCTAACATTGGCAAAAGACACTATCTGGCAAACACTGCCATCAGATATCCTAACCAGAGTGTTATCCCTCTTAAGTTTTCAACCAGGAAACCAAGAAACATGCAAAATCACATGTCCATGTTGTCACATGTGATCACATGTGAAATTAATGTGGTTTTTCTGTAAGGGACTGCTTAAAACTATCATTATAAAACAAAACAAATAACATTCATTGAATGTTTAGACTATCATATTTAATAAATAATAATAATCCCATCACAAGGGATCCGTTTTAATCAGGTTAAATTTAATGAATGCAATATTGATCATAAAATCTTGCTACCTCTTTAAATCCCCACTCTATTAAAAAAAAATCCTCCTGACAGCCAATCATAAAGTCCCGAGGCCCAGGGACAGACTCATATCTGACAGCGTCACCGCACTGACCCCTTCTTCTCTCCAGGATGCTCCTCTTTCTCTGCCTGACCGTCTTCTTCTCTGCGAGCTTTTCCATGGAGATGAACCAGACCTCCAAGCTGCTGGCGGAGAGCGGAGAGCAGTGCTCGGCCTGTGACTTCCGGGAGCACAGCAAGCAGATGAGGCTCCACAGCATCAAGTCGCAGATCCTCAGCATCCTGCGGCTGGAACAGGCTCCCAACATCAGCCGGGATATGATCCGCCAGCTGCTCCCCAAAGCGCCTCCTCTGACGCAGCTCCTGGACCAGTACGACCCGCGGGTGGAGGAGGAGGACCACGCCACCACGGAGACCATCATCACCATGGCCACCAAGCGTAACAAAACCAAACCAAAAATGATTTACATGTTCTTTCTTCTTTTCTTGTTTTGCACCTTTCTGAACGCCGTGCGTAAAAGAAGAAGCGCATGATCCGTGCGTAAATCCTACATGCGTAAAATTTCTTACCAAGCCGCGCAGGGGGAAAAATGAGACGGTAGACCATCTAGACATGTATAATTATTTATATCCCGCTGAACAAAGAATGATAATTACTTTTCAAAGTGTAACGTTGGGCTTCTTTATTTTAGAAAGACGTTTGTAGGCTACTTAAAATCCAGCAAGTAGTTTTTGGAAATATATAAATATATTATTAAAATAGTTAAATCAAATATTTTCACTAGGGTTAAGTAATAACAAGTGCTGAATTTTCATGCCAGTAGCTGGAGAAGAATGATAGATATATATTATCCAGCGACCTTTAAAAAGTGTGTAAAATCTTTGTAAACCTAAATTTAAATCACAGAAGTTGTACCAAGTGAAGATATCTGTTGTGTAGTTGAGTGAAAAATAAATGTGTTTCTTTACAGCAAAGTTTTTACACGTAGCTACAATGTTGGTAATGTGAAACAATAAAGAAGAAGTCATATTATCCTGTTAATATTAAAACAGAACAGCTTTTCACGACAAAACATAGGTGTTTGACTAAGCACATGTGCCCAAAATGCATCAGAACACCCTGAAAGTATCTAAATATTAAAATGCAGAGTGTTTTACGAGAAAACTATACGTTAAAACCAGTAAAACAAGAGTCAAAGCAGTGATTGTTGCTACTCATGACAGTACTCAGTGCAAGATGTTTCTTTGAACTTCACTTACGCTGGTATAAACATAAATATACTCTCGTCTACATTTTGGAACAGTTAAATAACTATAGTCTGGGTTTTAATGTTAGTTTGAATCCAAAAATGTTCCTGAAGCTGCACACAAACACTTCTAACTGACATGGCAACCTGACATTTACATTTTGAGTTATTATCTCTGCAATGTTGATATTTTGGGTGGTAAAAAATGCTCATAGAATTATTTGGCCCTCTGCTTTCCATGTGTTCAGTTGTGTGCAGTTTGGGGACTGATGGTGGCGCTAGAGCAAAGGTCATGGGGTCACTAAGAACATTGGGATTCAATCTTCTGGCGCTAATGCTCCCCACAAATTTGAAGGAAATCAGGCCATCACTTTCAAGCTATAATGGAAATGAGGCTCAACAACACACACACACACACACACACACACACACACACTCCCAACTTGTCACATTTGGACGCTTAGTCACTTTTTAACGCCCTGGGTACCCCGTAGTTTTTTGACATTTTGTACTCCGCAGTCAAGTTATAGCAACAATAAACATGCAACGTTCGGGTAGACTTTCAAAATAAAACTTCCACTTGTTGTAAAACATTGTGAAACGTCGCAATTTGGTTAGGTTTAGGCACCAAAGGTACTTGGTTAGGTTTAGGAAAACATCATGGTTTGTTTTAAAATAGCGTTACTTACATCACTTAAGTAACCTTAGGTTAAGTTAACTTACGCAACTTACGTAAGGAATAAAAACAATGTTGACTTCTTGTTTCACACGGGAAACCTCTCCTGGGTGAAAGTCCGGTTTCCGGCCCACCGCCTCCTTATTTGGACTTTTCTGTTAAATATCTTAGCGTTCAAAAATAACACTACAGGGCTTCCACCAGCGCGTTAAACCATGATGTTGAGGGGGTTCCCAGGGCGTTACAAACTGACTCCAAATGGTCTTGACCACGTGACGACTTGGGAGTGAGAACGTGTTGTGATCAAAGGTAGATTTTGTCCCGATGGTATTGGTAGAGGAAAGGTCAGGGGGGTCACCAAAACAATTAGGGTTCATCCAATATTTACTGCACATTTCATGCTAATCTGTTCAGTAGTTATATTCATATTTTATTTTATTCATATGTTCATGTTTTGCTCTTGACTTGTGTTTGACAAACATAACAGTCCAAATCTGTTTGGATGAAACGAGATAATTTAACATTTTAATGATTTCTTGCAGTTAATCCGATCGCCCTGGACGAGTTGGCCTCCTGTTGTCTGTTCAGCCTCAGTCCGAAGATCCAGCCCAAAAACATCCTGCGCGCTCAGCTGTGGGTTCACCTGCGGCCGGCCGACATGGTCACCACCGTCTTCCTGCAGATTTCCCGCCTCAAACCAGGGAAGGAGGGGAACAGCACCCGAGTCAGAGTCCGCTCCCTGAAGATCGACGCCGAAGCCGGGACTGGTTCCTGGCAGAGCATTGACATCAAGTCTCTGCTGCAGGCCTGGTTGCATCAACCGGAGACCAACTACGGGATCGAGATCAACGCCTACGACTCCAATGGAAACGATTTGGCCGTCACCTCAACAGAGCCTGGAGAGGAAGGACTGGTGAGTGCAATCAAAATATTAACATCTCAACTTCAAAAGCACATTGACTCTGGACTGAACTGGCATACTCTACTCATTTATTGTACTTGGTTAACTCCAAATTATTTAAGACTGCAATTGGATTTTCACTCTCTTTCCAGCAACCATTCATCGAAGTGAAGATCCTCGACAGCACCAAGAGATCACGCCGTGACTCAGGCCTTAACTGCGACGAGGAGTCTGCAGAGACCCGCTGCTGCCGCTACCCTCTCACCGTCGACTTCGAGGAGTTCGGCTGGGACTGGATCATCGCGCCCAAACGCTACCGGGCCAACTACTGCTCGGGGGAGTGCGAGTTCATGCACCTGCAGCAGTACCCGCACGCACACCTGGTGAACAAGGCCAACCCGCGGGGGACTGCGGGGCCCTGCTGCACGCCCACTAAGATGTCACCCATCAACATGCTCTACTTCAACCGCAAGGAGCAGATCATCTACGGAAAGATCCCGTCCATGGTGGTCGACCACTGCGGCTGCTCCTGAGGAAACCCAGGCATCTGCGGGGCATAGGCTGGCATAGGCAACCGTTTGATAATTTGTTAAATATCTGAACCTAAAACAGAAGTTACTGAAAAGAAGCATAACATCCCATCTACGAAAGAGATGCAAGGAGTGTTTTCAAGGCCAGGACTCCGAAAGTTGTTAGTTTTGGTAATAAAGTATAAAAAAACAACAGAAATTACTCTAAACGACCAACTAAAGGCCAAAAAAGCACAAATAAGATCACAGAAATTCTTAAACAATCTAAATTTTTTAAATAATATTTAAGTCACAGTGAAGTTAAAGCATATCTGCTAGTTTATGGTACAAATTTCAGTAATCTGGAAAGGAAGGAAATTGAATATTATCAAACCTTAACATAAAATACTATCATATGACACACGACTAAGACTCAGTAACTTGTATGGATAGATAGATTGACTCCTGCTGCGTCTTGTCCTCCTGTCTTATGAAAACGTGTCCTGATTTCAGCCTTGACCAGAACAAACTCTGCTGGGCGTCTTCCACGTGCGACTTTATTTGGAAAAACATGAACCTTGTGACTCCGAGCTGACAGATCGCCCTTCCCTGTCCCGGAGCTTGTTTGCAAACTCCTCGCTGTGATCTGCTCTCGAGAGCATCGCAGTGGGAAAAACACTTTTTTTTTTAAAAGGACGTTGTTGCAGATTGTATTCTGTCAGTTGTGTGTTCTTTGTGGTGGATTGTGTGGGATATTGTAAAAAAGTCAATCTGCAGTGTTTTAACTCTGTGATGGCTGCCCCGTGTTCCCTCATAGCATCATGACTTCATGTAGTCAGTTGTTGGAGCCAGAAAATGCTAATGTGAGTGAATAGACGCAGCTGAGTTGACAACCAGCTACCAGCTTAAAGTGACCTTTCAATGAAGGCAAATCTATCCTTGCTGGTTTTTAACATTTTCCTTCTTTCTTTCCTTCAGAAGTGCTTTGTTGGGGGGTGTTGCGCTAAATTCTGGTGCAAGACATTAAATGTTAAAGCTACTAGAGGTGATAAATAAAAGTTTTCACAGCCACAGGAAAGCTTTTTATCCTCTTATGGACACAATAGTTGTCCTGCTTTTCCTGTTATAGTCAGAGCGAAGTAGCATCGGATGAACATTAGAAGGACTGCAGCTGATGGCTCTTCACATGGTCAAGATCCCTTGGCGTTGCCTTTCAATGCCCTGGGTACCCGTTTTGCATCGTTTCTGCACGTGTAGGGAAATGTGCGCAAGGTAGTTGTTAACGTTGTGAAACGTTGCAATTTAGTTCAGTTTAGACACCAAAACAACTTGGTCGTAACTAAAAAGAATCAGTGTTAACTTTTTGTTCTACACGGTAAACAAAACCCTGGCCCAACCTCCACCTTCTGGACTTTTCTGTTATTTATATACTAGCTAATTTTAGCGTTCAGCAATGACGCTGAAGGGGTCGCCAATAAGATCTTGACCATGCGTCCATAAGTTGCTTCAACCAACACTTTCTTTAGCCTTCAGCTGTGGTGTGTGGTGGTAAACCAGTCCTGCTGGTTTATAGATGGTACAACAGCTAAGATGCATTGCAGTTAGGAAGTAATAGTAAATTGGTTTGCGTGGCTCCATACCAACACTAGACCTCTGAACTCAGACTGCTCTATGCCCTAACCTTACTTCTATAGAGCAGAAACCTCCAGAGGATCAGAACCAGCCTTTCGAGGGAAGTTATGGAAGTTTTGGATCAGTCAGCCATTAACAGTGTGAGGGCAGGAACTCTCAGAGGGAGGTTTGGTCTTGATTTGAAGCCGAGTGCAGATGTTGACTGTTGCTGTGCTTCACGGGGGTTTCTGACCCAAAAGTCTTTGTTCTGCTGTTTGAGCAGAACGACCACGAGTGACACAGTTTAATGTTTGTGATTCTGCAGTAAACAAAATGTCCATCCAAGTTACTTGGTGCACATTGGTTTGCTTTCCTGCAGTTTAACCCTGTTTTTAACACCTCAACAACAGTGACAGTTTTCTTTTAGATAAACAAAGATTTGCATGGCAAGAAAGAATTATTCCACTTTGTGAGATTTTAATCTCAATAAAATAGTTTGGAGGGTAAAGTCCTTAAAGAAAGCCGTTGGATTTTAATGGATATTTGTTGTACATTGCATTTCTTGCAACTAAGACTGAAGCAGAATGTTTGCTAAGTTTCTTGCTGTTGAGTGCTATCTCTAGACAAACAAGAATGATTGTTAGAGATAGAAAAAAATGTTCACCTACAATGTACTGTATGTATATATGTATAACATCAGGCCGTGTTGCTGCATTTGTGGTCAGTTGAAGTTCTGAACGTGAAGCGACGAGACGGTGCATTGAGGGACACCCCGACAACGGAAAACGTTGCTGTTTTGTGTTTGCTGAGGAGCTTTGCACCGACGAGCTTCTGTGCATGATGATCAGAAAATCTAACCCTGAAGACAATCACTAAGAGACAGCTCTGAGATTTTTTCCGATGCATCTTTGTTTAGGTTCAGTTCTTGCTTTTACCTGCATTACCGTGTGACTACAATGTCACATTATCACGAATAAAGGTCGTCCCGTAGGTGTCACGTTGTTCACTGTGATCGCTAACATATTTCACGGATGTTTCAAGTTTCTGCTTGTTGATTTTCTCACAAAATATTGCGGAAATCGCCTAAAACAAGTGATTGTATGCGTTGAAAAATAGTCAACAGTACTTTAACGCCATGTGCTTATAAAGAGTTAGCAATTTTAAACACAAGGGTGGTCCTTTAAAGCTGATTTTTTTCTCCTTGGTGATCTGCTGTCAGTGCTGTGTGAAATCTGCTTCCCACAGGAGTTGTAGGGAGTCATCACTAAAAGTTTGTGGGTGATGAAATGCTTCACGTGTATGTAATTTCTTTCTGCCACAAGATGGCGCCAATGTTCAGTTTCCAAATTGATGTAGCAAGAACGCGACGTTTAAAATAGTGTAAAAATGTCAGATCATATTTAAAAACGTCAGAGTTAATGCCACCTTTGTGCTTTAGATATCTGTCAAAAGACGTTTTACTGGTGGTTTGTGCACAATCATAAATGCACTATAAATACTATAATACTACAAAGAGTACAATTACTCGAGAAATATGTGAGGAAAGGGTAAAAACAACGCAGCTGCGTATGACTGAATATTTTTTATACCTATCTGACTGACTACCAGTATTATATAATAAAATAATAAATAAATGTCCACTTGTGATTGAACATCACAAGCGTGAGAAGTCTTGCTTACTTACTTTTTGAAAAAATGATATTATATATTATATTTTATTTGGTATAATATCTCCACAGCCATGCATACATCATGAATTATGTTTTAGTTTCAGAGTTGTAGGTGTTAAGGATCACTTTCTCTTTCTCTGAAAACACGTGGTGTACTGGAAGCTCTTCTGCTTATTGTCTGTCCTCCCCTCGAAAACTCGACATTATTTAGCTTTAAATCATTTCAAACCTTTTTTTACATATAGTTTGACACGTTTACAGTCTAAGAAAAAAAAATGGTGTGTTTAGTATTAATCTTGAGCTCACACTACCAAATTTTAATAAAATACACACTGTTTATAAATGTTATTATGGGTAATCTGACTACGTGACAGAACAGCCGTTTTCAATCGTTGTGATTGGCTGTTATTATCAAAGAGGCGGGCTTATCTCCCGAATCCTAAGCGGTGATTGGCTGACTTTGTTTCCGTACTGTAAGAAACAGTGCACTAGCAGTACAAGGCTGACTTGCACACTGGTTGCACAATTTTGGAAATAAAAACACATTTGTCTCTGTAGTTGTACACGTGCACTCAAAATAAAAGGTAAGTTTATTACTTACTTATTCGCGCAGTAAACATATGTAGCCCAAGTCTGCAGTCTGTAGTCTGCTTATGTTTATTCCGTAACGTGTTTATTTAACAGAAGATAATGTTGTGCTTACCTCAGTAACATTAACGTTTGGCTTTGCTAACGTTGGACGAAACGCGCTAAAGGTCGGTTATAGTCGTTAGCTTCCACTTGTATGTTCGCTATACCGAGCTGCAGTTATTTCTATCAATATTCAACTTTTTATAAGGTCTTACGGACTCTCATCAACGCCCACAGCTTGAACTGCAGCTGGCAACCTGACCAAAACGACCTTATTTCATTTAATATGTTACACCAGGTGAATTATATGTACGCCGAATTCACCAGTGGAAAATAAACATTTAGGTAAAGTGTTTTTTGTTTGGTCTGTGACGCCTTTGTTTATGGCGTTATAGAAGAAATTCTTAAAAAGTCACATCTCTGAACGGAATTTGGTTCGCGAAAACCAGCGAGGCTAGGCGAGACCAGGTAAGGTTTCTGTTAGTTGTTAGCGCCTAACCTGTCCCAAACGTCGTAATTTCATTTAATATGTTACACCAGGTGAACTAAAAGTAGGCCGTATTCACTAGTGAAAAATAAAGAGTTAAATAAAGTTATAAGTGTTCAGTCTGTGACGCCGGTGTTTATGGCGTTTTAGAAGAAATCCCTAAAAAGTCACATTTTTGAATGGAATTTGGTGTGCGAAAATTAGCAAGGCTAAGCGAGTCTAGGTGACATTTCTGTTGTGGGATATCTTTAGACTGATGCTGGAGGCAGAGTGACACCAGTAGGGAAAATGAAACCTATGAGGACTTCTCCTCCCACATTCACCTTTTGCCAGTTTATAATGACGACAATAATAATAATAATGTTAAGTTTGAGTAAAATGAAATAAGGTTTTGATACAACAATAAATAACCTCAATTTGTTTCTCCTTTAGCTGAACGACCACTTTTTTTTTAATTAACCAGTTGCTTTTAATCTGTGTAAATATCTTATTAAATGAAAGAATGAGTCAACTCTACATCTTCCTTAAATATAATTTGTCTTCCCTTTTCTTGGATTTCCCATCAAAAGGGCACACAATGTTTAACACACAACTCTAAAGTCTCAGATGTTGGACTTTCCTAAAACTTTTTTAACTTATAAATTTATATCTAAACCTGAATTAACCCCCATCCTCGAGGATTAAAGACCTCTTGGGTTTTTAGTTTATAATGTAACTGTCTGAAACATTAAGTTAGTTATTAGCTGCCAACCTGTCCCAGATGTTGTCATTTCATATATTACACCAGGTGAATTACACGTAGGCCGAATTCACCAGTGTTAAATAAACATTTAAATAAATTGTCATGTGTTTAGTCTGAGACGCAAGACGCTTACAGAAGAAGTTCTTAAAAAAGTCAAATTTTTGAATGGAATTTGGTTTGTAGAAAGTAGCAAGGCCGAGTGAGTCCAGGTGAGATTTCTGTTGTGGGATATCTTTAGACTGATGCTGGAGAGAGAGTGACACTAGTGGGGAAAATGAAACCTATGAGCACTTCTCCTCCCACATTCACCTTTTGTCGGTTTATAATGAAAACAATAAAGTTTGAGTTATATGAAATAAGGTTTGATGCAACCTTCATTTTTTTTCTCATTTAGCTGAAGGAGCGTGTTTAATAAACCAGCTGCTTGTAATCTGTGTAAATGAAAGAATGAGTCAACTCCACATCTTCCCTAAATATAATTTGACTTCCCTTTTTTTGGACTTTCTTAAAACTTTCTTAAAACTTTTTTTTATCTAAACCTGAATTAACCCCCATCCTCACAGATTAAAGAGCTCTTGGGTTGAAAATGTTACTAAAGTATGTAAGAATAATCAGGAAAATGTACTGAAAGTATTAAAAGTAAATATCCCATGTGACTGTTATACTATTATATATTAGAGTTTTATTATTCCTGCATTAATGTAAAAGCAGGATTTTACTTTTGTAGGTGTTTTTTACACCTTCACAATGCTTTCCGTTGTCTAACCAACAGGACAAAGCTCAAGATTATTAAAAATAAATTTAAGTAATTCAAAGGAAAAGCAGCAAATCTTCACATTTGTGAAGGTGGAACCATGAAATGAGAAATATCTTAAACGATCAATGTTGTTGCCAGTTAATTTCAATGTAAATCAAATAATCACGTCAGCTGTAGTTACATAACATGCTGGCTAGTAGAATTTATAATGAAACATAATATCTGATAAACTCTTGTTTGTGTTTTAAAAAGCTTAATTTGTAAAGTAACTGAAGCTGACAGATAAATGTAGGGAAACAAAAATGACAATATCTCCCTCTGAGATGTTGTGGAGAAAATATTCAAGTAAAGTACAAGTACCTCAAACTTGTACAGTACTTGAGTAAATGTACTTAATCACTGTCCACCACTGCAAACGGGGTAAATCAGAGAAGGAAAACATAATGCAGTAGGAAGTTATGACACCAGAATTTCGAAATACAGTAATGTTTATAATTGTGTTAAACTGCAGCAACAGTAGTTCTGCAGTAGATGTTGTAATTTCAGTAAGGAGTTGAAGTTATTATGTCTTATAAATGATTTAAATTGTTTTGGAAAAGAGGGGTCACAGATATTTTGGCGTCAGCATATGTACTGTATGTCGGCTGATATGTAACATGCTGTAAAGAAATTCCAAAAGACCCGTGTTTCTTCACCATAGAGCCGTGAAACACTTCATGTTCAAGCGATCCTCGTTTAATGCTTTAGTTTTTACCTGAACAAACCTAAAAGTTTTTACCCTGAACCCTCATGAAGCTACTCTTGTTCACCAGAAGATGGCTCAGTGGTGCCAGCTCCAGATGCTGGACTGCAAGTACCTGGAGCAGGTGGACCAGCTGTACGACGACTCGTTCCCCATGGACATCCGACAGTACCTGAGCAGGTGGATCGAGAGCATTGACTGGTAAGAAGACAAGCAGCCGCCCTGCCAGGACACTCTTTATCTTTTTAAAAATAGATGTTTATTACACTTTCAAAAGTGCTTTATGGAAAGACCGCTCGAAGCAATTAAATAATCTGCAGATTAATCAATATTTCAAAGTACTTTTATGAAGAAAACAAAAGTTAAAATAAACATTGTCATTGAATGAAATGAGTATAAAAGTGTATTGTTCTGCAACTTTTTCATTATTGATTAATCTCCCTAATACTTTTTCTGATTAATTGAATCTATGCAAGCGATTAAATGTCAGAAAATGGTAAATAAAATACACATTACAATCTGTCAGATGTCTTTTTAAATGTCTTGTTTTGTCCAAACAACAGTTTAACATATTTAGGATATTTAATTTACTTTGATAGAAACCAGAAAAAAAGCAGCAAAGCCTTCCATTTAAAATTATTATCACAGCTTTTGGTGTTCTTGCTTGAAAAATGACGACAAGTGAATAAATAATTATCAGAATAGTTTTAATGTCAAATTTCAGGTCTTCACTGGGGATGTGCTTTTCATAACGTTTGTTTAGCAAGTATAGCAAACTAGTGATGAATCAGTATTTATTGAAATATATACTTGAAAGTAATTTAAATGGCTTCTGAAGTCGTATCAAAAACACAAAAAGTAATAATTAAATTAAGACCGTAACAGTGTCTGCTTTTAGAACCTGGATTTCATTGAGTGAAGTTATCTACGGCTGCAACTAACAATTATTTTCATTGTCGATCAGTTGTTGGTCAGAAAATGGTGAAAAATGTTGATCAGTGTTTCCCAAAGCTGAAGAAGACGTCCTAAAATGTCTTGTTTTGTCTAGCGTGTGATATATTGTTAGTAGAAGTTAAGTTATAGCGCTGAACAGTTAATCGGTTAGTTAAAAATGAATCTGACATTTTTGATAAACAATAGATCTATAATTGAATAAAAAAATCATTTGTTGTTGCAGCTTCTCCAACATGAGGATCTGCAAGTTTTCTGTGTTTTATATCACTGATAACATAATACTTTTTTTTGGATAATCAATAGTG